TTTTACGAGCATTCTCAATTTCATCATTCCACCAGCAAACTAGCTTGTGCTTGTTGCAACCTTTCCTTTTTCTCTTCATTGCTGCATCGCAGGCTCGTTGCATTTTCCGTGTTAGGCAGTTAGCGCGCTGTTCTGCGTTTCCAATGATCGCGGTGGGGTCAAACACCGCTAAGTGTGCCTCTTTACTGAGCGTCTCAGGGTCCCATGCGATGTGGTGTGTTATGCCTGCCGGGTTTAGTTGTGCACCATTATTGGCGCTAATGTGGTCAGGTCAATTATTGAGCCACGTCCTGCCTTGGTGAAGGTGTGCTCGGTCCCGGTATTCAGCAATGTTATGTCAAGGGCTGCGAAGGCGTCTAGCAGCGTGCAGCCTTGTGGGTTTGTTCCGGCGCTTCCCCAGTTCATTGCCCGCGCATTGAAATCGTCGGCAATGACTAGTGGGGAGAGCGTTTGCGTGTCCGCCACGAATCCGTCGATAGCATCTGTCGCTCAATAAGAGTGGTGGGTTTTCGCAGCTCCATATAGCCGCACCATGTTTGGAATTTTGGACCCAGGTCTTTTCTGACATTGCTGTGTAGGGTTCGCTCAGTAATGCCACGTTAGCTTGTACCTCTCTGACTGTTTGCGGCAGGAGCTTCTGCGTGGATCTGCATTGGCTTAAATTAAGCTGTAGTAGCTTCATTTTTAATTCCTTTTATTTATGGCCTTTACAAATAATGGACATAACCTGCTAAGGGTGTTATGTCCCGGGTTCTTCTGGCCATTTCGAGTGCATAGTATGCACGCTGGCTTCACTTGGCATGCTTTTAATGCATGCTCTGCTCCACCGCAGTTGTAGCACTTGCCTGATTGGTCGTGGCTGTTTCTATACCTGGTGACGATGTTCCCGAATTACAATTAATTTATGCCGAATGCGGCAGATTGCTCATCCAAATATAATTTTCCAAATTTCCAAATTTAATGTTCTGCTAAATCATTGGGTAGAAGAACTCTAGCCGTCTGGGTTTGTCGGTATGCTGCTCGCAGTTTGGGAGTGGCTTCTACGGGCGTGTCTCCATCGATTTAACCAAAAACCAAGACGTCGGTAGCTGAGCACCACTCGGAAATATTTTTGACCTCCAGCATGACTTTCTCAGAGATCGTTTTTACCTCCGCGAGCTCTCCCATCTTCTCTTGCACAGCCTTGAGTAGTTTCGCTGTTGCATCGGCTCCTTCTTTTTCCATCTGCAGGTGCAGCTCTCGAGCGGCTGTTCGACGTATTTTGGCAACGTTTTCCATGTATTTTTGCAGGGATTCATCCTCTTGCACTGCCCTAAGGACCTCGGCATATGACCGTATCCTTGCACTTGACCAGCAGGGCATTTGGTCTGCTTGGCATTTTGCGTGGCTTTTATGGTCGGCGGTTCACTTACTGCCACGTACTCTCCTTAGCGGGTCCTTCCCTAGTGCGTGGTGCTAGCTGTGCTTGGCTGTTGTTCTCATTGCGCCGCCGGAGCGGTGGGCATGGCTTAGCCGGACCCGCGGCTTGTGTACCCGTTGGCCCTGTTGGACGTTCAGCATTCTGCATTATGTCTTTCTTTATGCTCTACTACTAGCGTCATCTAGGGGCGGGCAGCCAGATATCCTACATCCTGGCTTCGTAGTGGCGCCATCTATTTGTCGCGCTGTTGTATATGTTTGTCTGCGGTTTTTGAGCACTGGTGCTCAGCTGTGCTTACGCAGGCTGCCATCGATAGCTTGTAGCAGCTGATCGTCGTCTGCATGACTTTCACAATTCCCAGAGAGATTGGAAAGCTTTTTACTCAATCTACTCCAAGGGCTTAATTGAGTGGTGTTGTTGTTGTCTTACCCAACGGAGAAGACCTGCCCGGATCACTGCAGCCACTGATCCAGGTACGTTGAGTCTGTCGTTCATCCTGTAGTTACATAGACGCTTTTGCTTTGCAGGAGCTGCAGCAAAGAGCGCAAACCGGAGCACCACAGAATGCGCGTCCGCACCGCGTCTTTTACTCACTCTTATGTCTGAGTGTATACCTGTGTATGCATGTGTGTAAATTTATACAGAAACTCTTGCGCTTTGTTAGCTGCCGCTGACACTTGGCCTGCCAATATACAAATATATACAACCGTTTCATTTAATAACATCTGTGGTTCTTATCAGATCTTGATGAAATTTTCAGCTGTAGATCTTATTATGCTATAGAAAATTCGTATATTCTAAAAAAAACAGCATCAAAATTGTGGCTTAATTTAGTGGGAAGTTCTAATCGATTGATTTATTCATTTGATGGCGGTGTATATATAGTGAAAGATACTTGATATATATGTGGGAACCCTAGAAGGCGGGCGACAAAGAACAACACGCAGTGGCCGTTGCTCTCACTCTCTCTTTGCTCATTTGTAGCTTTGTAGTTTTGCGTCAAAGTTTATGAAATTAGAGTCACTTTGCATTTGGTAATGGCCTAAAGAACTCCTCAACCGTCGTTAATAGTTTAAAGTTTTAATTATAACTAAAATCATCCCATAATTACTTAATCATACTTATATTCAATCATATAATAATACTAGCGGGTATAACCCGGCCTTGCCCGTGGCACGTATGTTATAAAATCAATGTTTTCAAAAAGCTTTGAAAATGATTTTGAAACTGATCGGACGGGCATCCAACAAACTTAAAATTCACCAAAAAAAAATGCATTTTCCACCGAAGGAGTTTTAATTTTATAGATCTTTGGAAATAAATTTAAACACAAAACGTCATCCACCAAATCTTCGACCCCCACTTGCACCAAGGACGGATGGATTTTTCAAAAAGTGTGATGCACCCCTCAAATGAATTTGAATATAGATCTTTGAAAATGAGTTTGTTGCCGATCGAATGGTAAACAAAAAACTTTCATACAACCGTTTTCCGCCAATTTACCACTGTTGCGGGAGGAATTTCCCAAATCGCTGAAATACGTGTTCATTAGGTTCTTATGGAGAGCTTTGAAAATAAGTTTGAAGCAAATCGGACACAACTTAAAACTTCGCCGAAAAAATCTTTGAATCGCATTCCCCCCGAAGAAGTTTAAATTCTGCGAAAAGTGAAAAACACGTGTCAAATGAATTTTCATATAGATACTTGGAAATGAATTTGAGGGCGAAACGTCACCCACCAAATTTTTGACCCCCATTTCCACCAAGGAGGCATGCATTTTCCAAAAAGTAGGAAACACCCCTCAAATGAATTTGAACAAAGACCTTTGAAAATAAATTTGAGGCCGATCGGATGGTAAACAAAAAAGTTACATACAAACGTTTTTCGCGATTTTTCCACACTTGCGGGTGGAATTTCCCGAAACCCCGTCTTAACGTGCACCTACATCACATAAGGTAGCTACAGTGAAAATTTCAGCTTCCTATCTCTTACGGTTTGGGCTGTGCGTTGATCACCAGTCAGTCAGTCAGTCAGGACAAACAGTTTTATATATAGAGATTAAATGTAATTGTAAAAGTAAACTACTTTTAGACCTTATTATAATAGAGAAACTTTGTAATTTTATGTAACCATTAAGAGTCTACAAATTGGCGGCTCGTCCAGGAGTGATCCAAGTTACAATTAAAACAGTAAGACAAAAGTGAGTAAATTTAAAAGAAGAACATCATCGTGAAGGACGTTATAGAAGACGTGTAAAAATGGAAAAACAAAGCGCACAGTAAAGTGTGAGCGAGACAGCAACAGACACTTAGCGAAGGGTGGAGTAGAGTTGGAGTTTTGCTGTTACGCAAGGTAATGAGGCGGTGCGTACGGAAAGCCAACACGATCAAAGCAGCTGGTCATCTATGAGGAACGCAGGCAAGTTGGGCAAGGCTTGAAATAGACAGCAGCAATTTCTTGGTATGCTGGCAAAGTGGTCGTGCGTATAAGAAGGCTGGAGCAGAGTTGGTGTTGGCAGTTACGCAGGCAGATGAGCCGGTGCGTAGCGACAGAGTGCTTCGAGTGAGTATACGTTCAAATCGTACGGTGACCTGCAGGTGCGCTGCAAAATACAAATTTTACTATTTGCGCTGACCTAATCAAGTGGTTTATCCTGCGCAGAAATCGTACATTATTAAATAAAAAATGACACGGAAGAAAATTAAAATTATTTGTTATCAAAATTGTTTTATGTACATCGACATTACTCATTAACATAGTTTTAACAATTTTACACCAGTTGAGAACAACTTCAAAAATAAACTGCGTTGTTGAATATAAGATACTGTTAAACTTGAGCTACAAAAGAGAGCAGCTGCTGTTGTTGCTAATTAACATAGGCCAAACTGAAGTTGTTGTGCATTTACATCTTAGTATATCAAATCTAAAAATAGTAAATAAGAATAATTTGAAAATCTAAAATTGAAGTTACCGTATACAAATTTTGTAAAATAGAGAGAAACGATATTTTAAGTCTTCGTGTCAATCAATTACGCGAAAAGTTAACAGAGTTGCAACTGAGTACTGCAGGACGCTAAGCTGAACTGAAGCAAGATTATTTAATGTTCAAATAGAAGAAGAGGGTTCAGGTGATGATGTGTCGGTTAATACAGCACCTTTAATGCAGAGTCCTGAAAGAGCTAGATCGTGGATTAGGAGGATTTTGAGGGTAGCGTGTATAAATTTGATGGGTCGAATTCGAGAGATTTTGAACAGTGGGTGAGTGAGTTAGAAGAATGCGCTATAACGGTACAGTGGAGCGTCTAACAGTTATTTATCTAAGCCAAACAGTTGATTGAGGGTGCTGCTAAATCATTTATTCGTAGTCAGGTTAATAACTGGGAGGTGCTAAAAAACGCATTGAAAAATTAATTTGAGGTAAGATTGTAATTAGCAGAAGTTCATACACATGTTGTACCAGATGAGGATATAAGTTTTGAAGCAAGTCTTGGCAGTACCATTTTAAATTAAATTGACTTGCAAGTGACTAAAAGGGGGACTGTATTATAACTCAAAGTTGAAGTAGAAAATAAAATGGACCAAGATGCGCATACCATCGATTTAGATTTGTCACATTTGTGTAAGTTGCAACAAAAAGAGGTTGGGCAACTAGTATTCTAAACCAATTAAAAAATCCAAGCTCTCCAATTGAGATGAAAATTCTTTTAACAGACGAGCTGACAGTATTTCAGCATCCGAGACGTATAGCCGTGTGTGATCAGAACATTATTGATGAGCCAGTGAAGGAATGGCTAGCGGAGAAAATTATCAAGCCCAGTATGTCTATGCCTCACCAGTTGTTTTAGTGGCCAAGAAGAATGGAAAAAAAACGTTTGTGCTGCGACTACCGTAAATCAAACGAAAAGTTGATGCGTGAAAATTTTTGTATGCCTCAAATGGATACCGGAGATGAAAAGCTGCAAGGTGCGTCAGTTTTTACTACATTAGGTTCGCAAAAATTTACTTCATTCGTGACACAAAATGGGCAGCATGAATTTTTATATGTGTCTTTCGAAATTTCAAACTCTCTAGCCGTGTTCACTAGATTTATAATGGCAGTTCCAAAATGGAGATCCGTTCGATTATATGGACGGCGTCATCATGCCGAGCAGCAATGTTGATGAGGGCATGGTGAAGCTCAAAAGAGTGCTGCAAGTTGGAGGAAAGAATGGTCTACGCATAAATTAATTGAAGTGTCAACTGTTGCAAGGGAAAGCTAGCTTCTTAGGGTAAATAGTGTAAAAGCGCACTTTAACTCAGAGCAAGGAAAAGACCCAGGCTGTTGCAAATTTTCCGATACCACGGAATAAAAAGGATATTCAGCGATTTTTGGGGCTGACATCCAATTTTCGAAGGTTTGTAGAGGGGTTTGCAGTAATTGTAAAACTGTTGTCCATCATTTTGCGTAAGGATGTAAAGTTTGAATTTAAAGAGTTGCAGCATGTCGCATTTGAACAATTGAAAGCAGCAGTGACCAGTGGACCTGTATTAAAACTATATAATCCCAACTTACAAACGGAAATTCACACGGATGCTAACAAGTTTGGTTTTGGTGGGGTATTGTTGCAGAAAAACCCAGAAGACTGTTTGTTTCATCCTGTTCAGTATATGAGCAGTAAGACAAATGCATCTGAAGAAAAGTACGATTCATACGAATTAAAAGTTCTAACTGTTTGTCTGCTCTAATTAAATGGCGTGTGTACGTATTAGGCATAAATAACGATGAAGAAAAAAGAAGTTCCTTTGCGTGTAGAACGATGGGCAGTTGGGCTTGCAAGACTTCGACTATGAAATGGACCACCGTTCGGGTTCCAAAATGCGACATGTTGTCGCGTTGAGCCGTGTTTCATGTTGAGGAAAAGGGGTATGAAGATTTCTACATTGAAAACAAAATCATGTATAAAGACCCGAATCGGTAGTTAATTGTTGTGCCATGTCTAATGGAAATGGAGCTCATTCTTATTGCACACAAGCAGGGCCATTTTTCCGCTAAAAAGACTCAGGATTGGATACCAAAAACAAGTAAGAGGTCCTAGTCGGGAGCTCCCAACTAAGGGATACCCTGAACCCTCTTATTATTACACCAAATGCAGCTCGCGCTACGCGCTCGTTCGCCTTAGTAGTAATAAAGATAAATATAAAAAAAAAATGTTCCCTTGGCAGGGTTTGAACTCGCAACTGACCGCATTACTTGCTGCCGCCTCTACGCTACACTAGACAAAAAAAAAAAAAGGTTTCCTCGGCAAGGTTCGAACTCGTAACTGATCGCGCTGCTTTCCGCCGCTTCTATTCAATAGCCACAGCAACAGTTAAGTCTTAATGAGAAAAAACGAATTCAAATAGCAGCACAGAAAACAATACAATCGCAATTGCAATGCTGTTGATAGAATTCCAAGCACACGCGCATGAATGTGTGTGTGTACATGTATACAGCTATTCTATTTGCAGGCCAAAACACATTTTCTTTCGTGTTTCTTAACCGATCTTGATGAAATTTTCAGTAGAAGATCTTATTATACCATAAAATATTTGTGTATTCTCAAAATGACAATTGCATTTAAATTGTGGCTTAATTAGTTAGGTAATACAAGTTTGTTTACTAACATGATTTATAGCTTTATGGTGGTAGCGGGGAGGTGGTGATAGCTACAAAATAAAAGATACTTGATATATATATACTATTCTAGAAACTACATGTCAAGTTTGGTGACTCTAGCTCTAGTTATGAGAGTCCTAGCAGTTGGTATAAACCTTTGGGAAGAGTTCAGCATGTGATTTACCACACTGCACCAAGGAGCACTAAGGCATCCCCATTCAATATTTTAACAGTACTGGAAATGCGTTAACCATTCTATCTAGAGTTGAATAGACTAGTTAAAGAAAGTTGGATTGACGAGATGGAAGAAGAAAGAAGGATAGCGCGTGAACAGGCGCGTGAAAATATCAAAAAGTTGAAAGATGAAAACAGAAGGCAATTTGATTTAAAAAGAAGAAAGGATATTCAGTAAAAAATAAACGATTTTGTAGCTATAAAGCGCTTACAGTATGGTACAGGATTTTAAAGGGAAAATGTTTGGGGCCATATAAGGTTTTGAAAGTTAAGAATCACGGTAGATATGAAGTTGAGAGACTTGTCAGTGCAGATGGACCGTGTAAGACGACAACAGTGTCGGAGTATCTGAAGATGTGGGATTTCTTCGGGTCGAAGGACGTGTCAAGCCCGCCGATTGTGGGAATGTTTGGGGCCATATAAGGTATTGAAAGTTAAGAATCACGGCAGATATGATGTTGAGAGACTTGACAGTGGAGAAGGACCGTGTAAGACGACAACAGTGTCGGAGTATACGAAGATGTGGGATTCCTTCGGGTCGAAGGACGTGTTAGGACCGCCAAATGTAGGAGCCCTAGAAGGCGAGCGACAAAGAATAACACGCAGTAGCAGTTCCTTCTGATCGCTCTCTCTTGGCTCATTTGTAGCTTAGTATTTTTGCATCCAAGAGCAGGCTGCGCAACGCGTTATAAATTTAAAATCACTTTGCATTTGGTAATGGCTGAGTAGTTTAATGGTTTTAAGTTTTAATTATAACTAAAATCATCCCATAATAACTTAAACATAATAATAATCAATCATACAATAATTTTAAATATAATTGTTAAAGTCAACTACATTTAAACCTAATTATAATAAAGAAACTTTGTAATTCTATGTAACCATAAAGAATCTACAAATTGGGGGCTCGCCCAGGAGTGATCCAAGTTACAATTGAAACAATGAGACAAAAGTGAGTGATGTGGTATGCGCACATATCGAATGCTCACTGTAGTCAAGTACAGTACAATATTTTACACATATATGTATATACAACTTATAAGTACTATCACTGTAGCACTTTGTTGCAGTGTTTGCATAAATAACCAAATTCAAGTGCGAGTGAATCATTTTCACCCACTTATGCTTCATGCATCATAAATGCAGAGTCAGCGATCCCACGCTGACCGCTGAAATGTGCTAATAACATACTCTCTCTCCCTTAGCGCTGTTAACAACAATATATGTAAGCTATGCTTAATGCAGCCGATCCGCTGCTGGCGTTACCGGTAGCAGCGGCTACGCGGCGTTAGCTAAGTTAACATTAAGAGAACTTATAATAAAACATTCAATAAAGAACTTCAAATGCGACCAGTCGTGTAGCTATATAAAAACAAAGCGTACTTTACTTTTTCAATGAGCACACATATGCATGGCGACCGTGACTTGGTTACGAATCCCTGCTGGAGGCATTAGACCAATTGAAAGGAAAATAAATCCTTGCCTCGAGGCAGTAGACCAAGTGAAAGGGAAATAAATTCCTGCCTGGAGGCAGACGACATACTCTTACTGCGCCCTCATGGTCAACAAAGACGCCATCTATAACATCTGCCGTCGTAACTTGGACATTGAGCATCCCGCATACTGAGTGAGTAGAGAGTGAGTGTTATGGTAAATAAACGCGGTGGCTTACAAAATAAAGTGAAAACAAGTAAGAAGTTCTAGTCGGGGGCTCCCGACTAGGGGTTGCTTTGACCCCCTTATTCCAATACCAAATGCAGCTTGCGCTACGCGCTCGGTAGGGCTCGCAACAGACAACACTACTCGCCGCGGCATCTACTGAACAGCTACACAAATAATTGAGTCTTAATAAGGAACAAGTAAGAGGTTCTAGTCGGGAGCTGCCGACTAGGGGATACCCTGAACCCTCTTATTCCAACACCAAATACAGCTCGCGCTACGCGCTCGTTTGCTTTAGTAGTAATAAAGATAAATTAAAAAAAAAGTTACCTTGCCAGGGTTCGAACTCGCTACAGACCACACTACTCGCCGCCGCCTCCACACCAATGCTTAACTCTTAATCAGAAAAAAACAAACTAAAATGCAGAACAGAAAACGATAGTTGCAATGCTGTTGATAGAATTCAAAGAAGACGCGCATGAATGTGTGTGTGTACATGTATACAGAAATTCTTGCAATTTGCGCTTGCTGCCGCAAACACGTGGGCTGCCAAAACATATTTTCTTTCGTGTTTCTTAACCGATCTTGATGAAATGATTGTAAATACTTATATTCAATCATATAATAATACTAGCGGGTATAACCCGGCCTTGCCCGTGGCACGTATGTTATAAAATCAATGTTTTCAAAAAGCTTTGAAAATGATTTTGAAACTGATCGGACGGGCATCCAACAAACTTAAAATTCACCAAAAAAAAATGCATTTTCCACCGAAGGAGTTTTAATTTTATAGATCTTTGGAAATAAATTTAAACACAAAACGTCATCCACCAAATCTTCGACCCCCACTTGCACCAAGGACGGATGGATTTTTCAAAAAGTGTGATGCACCCCTCAAATGAATTTGAATATAGATCTTTGAAAATGAGTTTGTTGCCGATCGAATGGTAAACAAAAAACTTTCATACAACCGTTTTCCGCCAATTTACCACTGTTGCGGGAGGAATTTCCCAAATCGCTGAAATACGTGTTCATTAGGTTCTTATGGAGAGCTTTGAAAATAAGTTTGAAGCAAATCGGACACAACTTAAAACTTCGCCGAAAAAATCTTTGAATCGCATTCCCCCCGAAGAAGTTTAAATTCTGCGAAAAGTGAAAAACACGTGTCAAATGAATTTTCATATAGATACTTGGAAATGAATTTGAGGGCGAAACGTCACCCACCAAATTTTTGACCCCCATTTCCACCAAGGAGGCATGCATTTTCCAAAAAGTAGGAAACACCCCTCAAATGAATTTGAACAAAGACCTTTGAAAATAAATTTGAGGCCGATCGGATGGTAAACAAAAAAGTTACATACAAACGTTTTTCGCGATTTTTCCACACTTGCGGGTGGAATTTCCCGAAACCCCGTCTTAACGTGCACCTACATCACATAAGGTAGCTACAGTGAAAATTTCAGCTTCCTATCTCTTACGGTTTGGGCTGTGCGTTGATCACCAGTCAGTCAGTCA